ATTTGCCGGCACCGGTGCGGCCAACGATCCCCACCTTTTCTTTTGGTTTCACTTCTATTGTAATCTTTTTGAGCACTAAATCGAGTCCTTCTCGATATCTCGTACTGTATTCATTGAACTTTATTTCTCCACTTTCTGGCCAATTGGGCTTCGGTTTGGTTATCTCGTTGTACCACTCGGCCTACCCGTCCACACAGAATCGCATTATTTATTAAGTATTTAAAAAACAATTAAGAAAATGAAATCTTACTTCTGTTGGAGTCGTTGTGTATTCAAGACATCGCTCCACAGAAACTATATTAGACTCGAGATCTGTGGCTGACTTCACAAATGATGTCAAAACACTGGTTATAATGAGTGAATTACTAATAGCCAGACCCGCTATACCGGGACTCAGTTCATGTCTGTATACCACAGCAAATATTGCCGATAAAAATACTATACAATAGCCTAAGAACTCGAGTCTAATGGCCAGCCATCGGGTGCCCGTAAAACTTGGATAATTACACATATGGTTGTCGTCCACTCGTCGGTTGGACTCCTTTATGAACTGATCGGACACTCCATACGCTCTAATACTTGTAAAACCGCTAATAGTTTCGCTAAAATGGCTATAAATAGGGGAACGGGTGGTCGAGTCGATTCGCTTGAGTTGACGAGAAGTGGGAATATATATCTTTTGGATGAAATGGTAGACCACAGCCAACGGCAATATAGCCACCAAAATGAATGGCGTTTCCAAACTGATCATAAAGAAGGCCACAATTGTGCGGAAGAGTGATGTGATTGTCATCCGAAGACTGAACACCAGTGCCACGTCCGCCACATCCATGTCTCGACTGAATCTGTTCCATACCCTCCCAATTGGTGTTGTGTCTAAGGTGTCATACAATTAGCTAATTATGAGACTATTAGCTAACATGTCTTACCATAGAAAAGCATGGGTGCTCTCAACACCCGGTCTAACATAGTGTTGTGTAAATGCTTTGCGGCTCTAATACAGCCCAGAATTACACAAATGTTTGCAATTAAGTTGAAAACGGCGTCAATAATGCCGATCCCGGCGTATACACCAAGTCTTAAGTGCCGCAGATTCGTGTCATTCATTTTATTAGCGTCCAGTGAATCGTCAGACCATTTGCTGAGCCAAAGACCGGCTAATACTTGGGCCACATTTGAGATGATAAACGACACAACAATCACTGTATTAAATGCCAAACCAATCAAATGAATATATTTTCGATAAACCGTTAGTCCAACGGATCCCTCCGCGGATTTCTCGGTCTCTGTTAGTTTTCCACTCGTTTTAATCATTGGTTTTTGTTTCACAGTTTCTTCATATTTCGTGTCTTTAAAACTTTTTTCACTCAATAGACTCGACGATTGTTTGGAAACTCTTTTCCTGATCCGATCGCTTTCACTGCGAGATACCACTGAACCACTGATTGATTGACAGATGGACTCATCGATGGATTTGTCAATCAGTGGTTTTAATCGTTCCCTCAATTGGTTGACAATAGTTTTGTCTCCATTTTCGAGTTCAGTGTCCGAATGCTCTAAAAGATATTCGGTTACGAATTCAGCGAAATAACCATTTTTGGCAATTAAGGCCTCAAATGTTCCTGATTCAGACACGAAGCCATTCTTGAGCACAATTATTTGATCCACTTTTGGCAAAACTGATACACAATTGGTCACCAAAACTCTGGTTTTGTCTTTTAATAAGCCGTTCGGACCAATGGTTTTGTCAAACAAATGTTTGCCGACATGTGTGTCAACAGCGCTATTAAACAATTATTCAGTCATATAATCTCAATGAATCCAATTATAAGCCATACCTGAGTGGGTCGTCCAGTAAATAGATGTCTGCGTTTGAATAGACAGCCCTCGCCAGCGATACCCTCTGTTTCTGACCGCCCGACAGGTTTATGCCTTTTTCGCCGATTTCAGTCATGTCTTCATCGGGAAGTACACTCAGGTCTGGCAGTAGTGCACACGACTCGAGCACTTGTTTGTAATATTTGTCATTATATTCCTTAACGAACAGAATATTCTGTTTGAGTGTCTTATTCTGGATCCAAGCCTCTTGTGGTACGTAAGCAATACTGCCATGTATATTAGCCTTTCCGTTCAGAATCTCCAGTTCACCCAAAATAGCTGACAATAGAGATGACTTGCCGGCCCCCACCTGACCCACGATTGCTACTAAATTCTTGTGCTGCACTTCCAGTGATATATCTTTGAGAACTGGAGGCAAGCCTTTACTCCACGAGAAAGTGGTGTTATTGAGAACAATAGGAGTTTTGATGTTTCCATCCCTTGTAATAGAGTTGCCATCGATTTCTTTGGCATTAATAAAGTCATCGATTCTATTAAGGGATACCAAACACTAAATTCAAACAATAGACTCTATATTCAACATTAAATTAAATGCAAATTTCAATACCAGTGCCCCAGTGGAGAGTAGTACAGGAATAAAACCCAGGGGTAGTCCTAAAAAGGTTGAAATAATTGTTAGAAAATAATTCACTGATAATTGCAACAAAATATTACTCATTATATTAAACAAAGACAACGAAACGAATGCTTTATTGGCGTCCAGAATATTATCGGAAGAAATCAATATAAATGTCATAAAACTAAATAAACCAACCTACAGTATAATTAAATGCAAATTTTAATAATCAATTACAAACCAAACATTATCTAAAACTTACAAAAAAGTGTGCTGATATAAATGAGAATATCATAGCACCCTGGTATATGGCACCCATATTTAACGCATTCACTTCTTTCTCTCTGGCTTTGAGCACTTGATCTTTGAATGACTTCTCCCACGCATACAATTTCAGTACTTTAATACCATTGAGAATCTCATTAATTAGTTTAACCCGGTGATCTTTAAACTCCATCTGAATCACTTGATATTTGCGGACTATATTAGCCATATACCCATTGAATGGCACTAAAATTATCAGAAATGCAAGTCCTGCCAGAGTGGCCACACCTAATTGTTGCCACAAAAGTATAGAGGCAATTGTGATCTGTAGGGGTGCCGACACTATCAGGTTTCCTATCAGTATAAAGTCGAGAATCCGTTGTATATCAACGGACATTAGGTTCACTATTTCGCCACAAGTGAAGTCCTTTCGGCCACAACTCGACAACTTTAGTGTCTTTACAAACAATACTTATATTTAGTATGAAATAAAAATAGATATAAATATCGGCAATATTTGATACCTTTTTATAAATAGTAGATATAAGTGAAGCTCTTATCTTCATAGCCACTAAATTTACCCGATATTCGTATTGACTGTTTAATAGCGATTCAAATAGAGGGGTAATAAACATAAGGGAGGCGTAGAAAAAGCCCCTCCACTGGGGCTCGTCATTGGACGGACTCATGAATGTGATGAGTCGGTCGAGAACTAATGGGTTCACAAATGTCAGGACACTTGAGATCAGTTTGAAGGCACTCGTGGCAAATAAATCCATCCAAAAGCACATCACTATTGGGCCCAAAATGTTTACACTAATAGTCTTTTTATTGTCTTTTTGTGAGTCTCTCTTCTTTCTTTCATTCAGTTTCGACCAAATTTTGTCAAACTTTCTGAGTATATAATCAGTCATATTATGTAAGTCCAGAGACCACATGTCATTAGGTGTCAGCGGTTTCCTATAGCCTTTGATAATCATGTCATTAAACCAGGTAAACGTGATTTGCGATAAAAATGACACATATTTTTGTGGGCATCTCTTCTGTAAGAATTTGCAAAAATTAATGGTTTGCAACAATATTTGTATCTATTTTTTACATTCATTGAGTTGACAATGATTTTCGTTGAGTTTGAGAAACACGAGAGAAATAATTGTACGACAATTATAGGATAGGAAAGCATATTGACTATGAATGTGAACTCATTGATCGAGTTGATGGCTAAATCCTTTGAATATGAAAATATAATACAATTAGAAATATATAATCAATGTCAGTTCAATTTTCACAAACGATTACATCTGAGAAAAATGTAAGTTTAAGAAGAGTCCGGTAGTGAACACCCCTTCCTATCGTCAAAAGTAACCAAAATATAAAAACTGGTGCCGAAGAGTAAATGCAATATTTTCGGTGCAATATTATTCTGTGGATGAAATATATCTAAACAAATATTAAGTCAATTAAGTTGCTTAGATTGTAATTATTTTAATATACTGTAGTATCTATTATACTTACAAAAGTTATTAATTTGAGAGTAGGAGTAATGAACTCAACAATTGATAGGTTGAAATCATATGCCAAATATCGGTAGCAAGAGTATAACAATTCACAAATGCTTATAATAAGTAAAACAAATGCCAACAACTGTATGTAAAACACGACAAATTAGTTTTGAATAAATATTTTATTGTCACTGAATCTCACAATTTTAGTCAAATCGAGAGCATTCCAGGGATGGGCTGTATTCTCGATGTATTTCTTGGAGAATATGCTGTAATTCTCACAAATAGATAGCATAAAGAAAATAATACACGGAATCCATAGTAAAACCGTGTCCTCGAAACAAATGGTAAAATCGGGAACATTTTCCGTATTCCATGAGAGTTCTTGGTCCTTTTAATAGGAGTAAATTATATTAGAATAAAAATTAATATAAACATTTAAAAAATATAATGAAATATAAATACGGTATTACTGAAAACTCACCCAAATTGGTGAACAACAGAAAGGTAACATTTTGAAATAAAATACTAATGAAAATTGTTTAGCATATTTTATATTTAATTGCACAAAAAGAATTGTATATTATATTTAAATATTAATAAATCATGTGAACACATTATTTATATTACTGTATTATGTTTACTTTCCAAAATATTAATGTAAATATTTCTAAAAATTTGTTTTTAAACATGTCACATTATGTTTTTTAAAAATCAGACACTTTATACAAAATTTGTAGACTATTTTTCAGTACATTGTTATATCATATTACATGTAATATCTTATTTCCAATTGAGTTGCACTTAGAGATTAAAGAATCGCCGAATATATGTTCAGATTACTTTTATATAATAACTTGTTATTCAATAAGTATTGTAATTGAACTTTTAAAGTACTGTTAAGGAATTTACAAAATTTTCAAAAGTTACTAGTATAAGAAATTATGTAAAAAATAGTTGTTAATTAATTAATTAATTACTCAATCAATATTTCTATTATAAACCAAGTTTTGGTTTTTACTAATCCCACAGTTATAATTATTAAATGATTAAAACTTATTTTAGATAGTTTATTTAATAAAACAAAAGTTATGTTGTCACTAATTGTTTAAAATAGATGTTAAAACTTAATTTAAACTTTTAAAAATTGATAACCAATGTAAATGTATTTCATTTTACTGTTAGTATTGTACATTTCTGTGGTGTTGCGTAACTTCGTTTGTTATTTTATGAACTGTGAGTTATACAACAAACTTATTATTCAGATTCTTTTCTTAACTAATTTACAAATAGTTTTGTTTATTTTATACTTTAAATAGAGTTGAGTCCCCTTATGCTATGAAATGTAGGTTTTATTATCTATTGTAGATATTTGAACATTAATTTCATATTAATTGAACGCCTCATTGATTTCTATATAAAAAACAAATAAAATATGAAATTTATCTCAACTCAGGGGATATGCTATGAAATGTAGGTTTTATTATCTATTGTAGATATTTGAACATTAATTTCATATTAATTGAACGCCTCATTGATTTCTATATAAATAAGATTTAATAATATTGCACTATAATAGGGTTACTGTAATTTTATTTGCACATTTGTACTGAACTTAATTTAATTATAGAGTACCAATATAAACAATATTTAAATTTAACTCCATCGTACATCTGATTATATTTGCATAATAATGATGAGGTCTTTATATTGACACTGATTGGTCCCATCAGTGTTAAGTTATCGCACATAAGACCACAGAATAATCGGCATATTCTGTCGATTACGAAATAATATGTTAATCAAAATATCGTATAAATAATACTCTTTTTAATTCACTTTCTCTATGTTATACTTCTGTGTTAATAATTATAATGTATGTTTATAATTAAAAGTAAATTTAAAAACTGTGAGATACCAGGCCTTGACTCCGGGTGCTGATCGACCAAATCATAATATATTTATCGTAATTAAATCATAACTACTATTATGTAAATATATTTTTAGATTTTTATTAAACAAAGTAATTGTAAATTACTTCTCGGAAATATAGGACATTGTCATTACATAAAATATGTGATTAGTTAGTATTTCATAGAAATGTTAAAAACACATAAATTTAATTAATTTATAATTAAAATATAATAGAAATGCATTAAAATAATAATTCTTATAATACTGTACTAAAATGTTTGAAAATATTAGACGAGATTAGCTTCTTTGGCCATTGAATAGAATATCGATTTATGGTTTGCCAACAGATTCTTTGGTGAATCAAACTCGGCTACCATTCCCTTATCCATAACCAGAACTCTATCGTAATCTATGATTGTATTCAATCGGTGAGCGATCNTATGCTTTCCTATCCTATAATTGTCGTACAATTATTTCTCTCGTGTTTCTCAAACTCAACGAAAATCATTGTCAACTCAATGAATGTAAAAAATAGATACAAATATTGTTGCAAACCATTAATTTTTACAAATTCTTACAGAAGAGGTGTCCACAAAAATATGTGTCATTTTTATCGCAAATCACGTTTACCTGGTTTAATGACATGATTATCAAAGGCTATAGGAAACCGCTGACACCTAATGACATGTGGTCTCTGGACTTGCATAATATGACTGATTATATACTCAGAAAGTTTGACAAAATTTGGTCAAAACTGAATGAAAGAAAGAAGAGAGACTCACAAAAAGACAACAAAAAGACTATTAGTGTAAAAATTTTAGGCCCAATAGTGATGTGCTTTTGGATGGATTTATTTGCCACGAGTGCCTTCAAACTGATCTCAAGTGTCCTGACATTTGTTAATCCATTAGTTCTCGACCGACTCATCACATTCATGAGTCCGTCCAATGACGAGCCCCAGTGGAGGGGCTTTTTCTACGCCTCCCTTATGTTTATTACCCCCCTATTTGAATCGCTATTAAACAGTCAATACGAATATCGGGTAAATTTAGTGGCTATGAAGATAAGAGCTTCACTTATATCTACTATTTATAAAAAGGTATCAAATATTGCCGATATTTATACCTATTTGTTATTTCATACTAAATATAAGTATTGTTTGTAAAGACACTAAAGTTGTCGAGTTGTGGCCGAAAGGACTTCACTTGTGGCGAAATAGTGAACCTAATGTCCGTTGATATACAACGGATTCTCGACTT